TATTTTTGGCCGCGTTGGGTCTTCATTGCAGTGCGCGGGCTTCTCATTGCAGTGGCTTCTCTTGCTGCGGAGCCCAGGCTCTAAGCCCACGGGCTTCAGTAGTTGTGGCTCGCACGCTCCAGAACGCAGGCTCAGCAGTTGTGGCACACGGGCTTAGCTGCTCCGAGGCACGTGGGATCTTCCCGGACCAGGGCTCGAACCTGTGTCCCCTACGTTGGCAGGCGGATTCTTAACCACTGCGCCACCAGGGAAGCCCTGGTCTCCTTTTTAATCTTCCTACACACTGAGGCATCCAACACTATTACCAAATCAATATTGCCGAAACCCTAATTTCATGTCATTTCCCTGCTTTAAAAATCTCCAATGGCCTCTTAGAGACTCTTCTTGACCCTATTCTACCTGTACCTGTGGATGTACCTGTAGAAGTGTTAACAGTATGAGTAGAACTAGGCAGCTGAATTTTGAATCCTGGGTCCACTACCTATTAGCTGTGTGAGCCTGGGGAACTAACTCAACCCCTCTGTGCTCCCTCAGCTCCTCATGTGTAAAATGGGGCTAATACCCACACCACAAAACTGTTCTTATAAAGTGAAAATTCTTATAAAGTGCTTACTTAGCACGTGACGCCTGACATAGGAGTTGCATCCTTTAAATGTTAGCTATTATTATTATTACTTCTCCAAATAAACTTCCTACTGCACCTGGGATGCTCTCCTTGATGATTTCTAAACACACAATGCCTGCCTTTGCTAGTAGTGTTCCCACCCACGAACCACCACTCCTTAACCACAACCACCAAAGAGAATTTATTCAACATTTATGCTATATATTCAAGGTGCTGGGCTGGAAATACAGGAAAAACAAACAGTTCCAACCTTCAGAGCTCACAGTCAAATAATGAAAGACGGCCAGAGGAAGAGGTGCAATAATGTGTTACAGGTGCCAGGGGAAGCACTTCCTGGAGGCAGTGGAGATGCTGACACTGAATCCTGAAAGCTGAGTGGGTGCATCAGGCAGAGTGGATGCATGTAGAGTAAGAGCATCCAGTCCTGCGGTCACAGTCACTGTACTGAGTCTGGTGAAGCCGGAGCTCTGTGCTAAGGGCAGGCAGAGTGAGCAGAGGGTAGAGGAAGGCTATGTCAAGGAGGTCAGGAAGTGCTGAGATTTTATTCTGTAGGCAACAGGCACTCAGTGATGTTAAGTAGGGAACTCCTGCTTGGGTTCTAGAAAAGCTACACCTGTTCTGCCCAATATGGATGCCACATGTGACTGCTGAACCGTGCTAGTGTGACTGTGGAACTAAATTTTAATTAATTTAAATTTAAAAACTGATACGCAATTCAGCTACCCAAAATTTTTTAAGTATATTTGGAACAATTTGGGTATGTGAATCTATTGTATACTTTTTCAACTGTAAGTTTAATGAACTCTAAATACAGATCAAGTGTTCCTGATGGGGCTTCCCTGGTGGAGCAGTGGTTGAGAGTCCGCCTGCCGATGCAGGGGACACGGGTTCGTGCCCCGGTCCGGGAAGATCCCACATGCCGCGGAGCAGCTGGGCCCATGAGCCATGGCCGCTGAGCCTGCACGTCCGGAGCCTGTGCTCCACAACGGGAGAGGCCACAACAGCGAGAAGCCCGCGTACCGCAGAAAAAAAAAAAAAAGTGTTCCTGATGAAAATTTAGCATCCAAATTGAGATGTGCTGTAAGTGAAAAATACACACCAGATTTTGAAGACAGTGCAAAAAGGGTAAAATCTTCTTTAATAATCTTTAGATTAATCACACGTTGAAATATTTTCACTATACTAGGTTAACGATGACATTAAAATTAACTTCACCTGTTTTTTACTTTTTACTGTGTCTAACTAGGAAATGTAAAATGGAATGTGTGGCTCACCCTGCATTCTGGAGAGCACTCATCCAACAGAACCCAGGCAGATGCAAGAGGAAAGAGACTGGAAGCAGGAAGACCAATAAGAGACTCTTCTTGATGAGTCCAGAAGAGACACAGGCCTGAATTATCTAAATGCTCCCCCATCTTCGAAACTTAATTCAAGACCTACTACTACCTCCAAAGCTGTTCCAGTCATAACTGTTCCTAATGAGATGCCTTTCTCTGAACTACTGGGGGAGTTAATCATCTGTAGGATCCACTTCGGCACTTAAATCATTTCCACCTGTCATTTCTACTTAATTCTGGGGTGAGCTGTTTCTCAGATTAGACTATCAGCTCCTAGGCTAAGTGCCACAATTTAGGCATCTTTAATTTTTCCACACTGTGCAGTGCACTTTCAAAACTTTTTTTTTTACTTCTTTATTGGAGCATAATTGCTTTACAATGGTGTGTTAGTTTCTGTTTCATAACAAAGTGAATCAGTTATACATATACATATGTTCCCATATCTCCTCCCTCTTGGGTCTCCCTCCCTCCCTCCCACCCTCCCTATCCCACCCCTCCAGGCGAGCACCTAGCTGATCTTCCTGTGCTATGCGGCTGCTTCCCACTAGCTATCTACCTTACGTTTGGTAGTGTATATATGTCCATGCCTCTCTCTCGCTTTGTCACAGCTTACCCTTCCCCCTCCCCATATCCTCAAGTCCATTCTCTAGTGGGTCTGTGTCTTTATTCCCATCTTACCCCTAGGCTCTTCATGACATTTTTTTTTCTTAAATTCCATATATATGTGTTAGCATACGGTATTTGTCTTTCTCTTTCTGACTTACTTCACTCTGTATGACAGACTCTAGGTCTATCCACCTCATTACAAATAGCTCAATTTTGTTTCTTCAAAACTTTTAATAAACAGAACTACATGAATGGCTCCCCATATATTCCGTCGCATAATCTGGAGATACTCGTATAGCTAATTTTACTTTTCCTCAGCAGAAGGTTTTGACATCTTAACATGAGCTAAAACCATGTAAAAGTCAACCAACACTCCAGGCCAATGTTCCAATAAAGCAGTGATATCTAATCAGTGAGCAAGCCTTGGCAAACTGTATTGGATACTAGCAGGAAAAAAAAAGTCAAGATGGCAGAGCAATTTAGCATTTTCACAAATTCCATTAAAAATCAAACCAAAAATTCTGATTATCTATGGCCTCCACTGCCAGAGATAACCTTTGCAACCTAAGCATTAAGAACATTCATTCAGGGGAAAAAACACACAGCTTTCACACTTAAAAATCAACCCCTAGGGCTTCCCTGGTGGCGCAGTGGTTGAGAGTCCGCCTGCCGATGCAAGGGACATGGGTTCGTGCCCCGGTCCGGGAAAATCCCACATGCCGCGGAGCGGCTGGGCCCGTGAGCCATGGCCGCTGGGCCTGCGCGTCCGGAGCCTGTGCTCCGCAACAGGAGAGGCTCGCAACAGTGAGAGGCTCGCGTACCGCAAAAAAAAAACAAACCCTAAAAATCAATCCTTCTAATAAGCAACACATTTTCCAGATAGAGAGCCACATATTACTAATAATCTAAACTCAGCATTTTCCTATCTAAAGTCAGGTGAAGGAAAATCTTTTTAGGGAAATGTTAAAAAAAATATATATCTTGGGCTTCCCTGGTGGCGCAGTGGTTGAGAGTCCGCCTGCCGATGCAGGGGACATGGGTTCGTGCCCCGGTCTGGGAAGATCCCACATGCTGCGGAGCGGCTGGGCCGGTGAGCCATGGCCACTGAGCCTGTGCGTCCAGAGCCTGTGCTCCGCAATGGGAGAGGCCACAGCAGTGAGAGGCCCACGTACCGCAAAAAAACAAAAAAAAAAAAACCCAAAAAAAAAAATATATATATATCTTACTGTATCATCGATAATAAAGTATTTCACCTAAAGTACCACTTAAATTTTCTGAGAGGAACCCTTAAAACACACACACACACACACACACACACACACACTCAAGCAACTGGTCAGCTTTTACCCCTACAAAAATAGGAAGCTAACAGCAACTAGTTTAAAGCAAAGGGACACTTATATGGTTATCAGCACTGATCTTTCCGGAACTTTGCAGTTCTCAGAATTTTAACGTTTGTTTGACATTTAAAACAAAAGCTGACAAGTTATAACAACAACAGAATCGATCTTTCCTGAATTTGTTTAATGGCTATAAAGCCTATGTAACAGTGCAAATAAAGTTTCTATCTCCAAACGACTGAGCAATCAAAGATGGAGTCACGACAGCTCATAGGGAAAAATAAGTTAAGGCTGTTCTAGTCTGAAAGGCAGAAGAAACGGGGGAAACCTGTCAAATAGCCTGGATGAAATCAGGGAGTTAAAAAGAAAGCACTCATTTCCTTTAGCACTGTGGGAAAATCCCGGTGCTAACAGAAAGCTAAGGAAAGTTTGGTTTGGCTGATTTCATTTTGTTTTCCTTCCAACATCATCACTGAGTTTGAACGGCTGCTTTCCTCCCCTCCCATTACTCGGTAAAAACTCCCCCACTGAATTGAGTTGTCTTCCGGAGCCTCGCGCCCCCGCCTCCCAGGCTGCAAACGTGCTCAGACGCCTCTGGGTATGTTGTGGTCTCACCAGTCCGCGGGCCAGCGCTCCGAACTCAATGGACAATGGAAGCTCACCCCCGTGCACGCCAACTACAAAGCTCAGGAGGGCCATTTCCCTTTTCCTGCCCAGATGCTGTTTTTCCCCCTTCGAAGCAGGGCCCCGTTCTCCACTACAGCTGTAGTTTGGTCTGGGACGCCTGTCTCCCTTCCCACCTGCAGAGCTGCTGAACCCCTCCACCCCTCCAAATAAGTTGTAGGGCAGCGCACAGGCCAAAGGGGACCCCCTCCCCAGGGGCTTAATTGGGGTCACGGGTTTCAAAGTCCAGGTAGGACGGGGAGGGGATGTCTCTGGACGCTTGGTCATGGCCCTCAAGGCTAAGTCGTCCCCACTGTCCCCTCGCCAGCCTCTACCTGTCTCCCATCCCCCTACAGCGAGGAGAGCGGGGAGGTGCCGGCAGGCAGCACGGCCACCTCCTCCTCCAGTGGAGCCCTCGGCGACACTCACCCTTTCACCACAAAGAAGGGGTCCTCCATGGACATGGCGTCCCGGCCCCCGGCCGCCTCACGCTTGCTCCGCGCACAGCGCGCCCAGCGAACGCTGCCCACCCCACCCGCCTCGCGCGGCCGCCGGCGCCTCGGCCTGGGGGACCCGGAGCCTCTGAGCGCGCAGGCCGGGGTGCACTGGCCCGCCGCGGGTCCACCACTTGGTCGGCACCGCAGACCGAATCCCTGACTCTGTTGCCCGGCCCCGCGGCCGCCCCCTCCCCCGGCTCCTCCCAGCGCGTCCGGCCGCCTGGCTCCGCCCCCGGGTTGCTCAGCCTCCGCCAGTCACGAACGCCGTCCGCCGCACCACTTCCGCACCCATGCTCACGTGACCAGACCCGGCCCCGCCCCTTGTCGGCGGGGCCTGGGCACCTTGTCACAAGACCCTGGAGACGGGGCTCTGGGGGTGGTGGGGGAGGACGGGTCTTCTCTCGCCTCGCCCCTCAGGATTCAGGGGGAGGAGCTGCTTGTTCCCTTGCGGGAAAGGCTGTCGGGTTTCCTAGATACGCCGTAGTACCTGCTTTGCACAATCCTTTCACCTTTCCTCTACTTTTGATACTTGATTTTTGATAACATGTTGATTTAGAAATCCATCTCGTCCTCGTCTTACAATAAAGCGTGCTCGTATACATTATCTGACTATGATAATATTGAACAACTCCTTTATGAAGGTCTTGCTATATCCAGCAATGCGCTGAAGGCTGTATGTGCATTATCTCAATATTCTTGGGGGGGGCGGTATTACTATTCCCATTTAGTAGATGGGAGAATTTCAGAGAGGTTTCAAGATTTCCTGTGCTCACACAACCTGGATAGGGCAGAGCCAGAGAATCTGTGCACTGTCTACCAGACTGGGGTGTGTTTTCTTTTGCTGTGCATTCTTTTCATACAGCATACGGTGCTTCCCAAGGGAGAGAACTTTTGAGGGACAAAGAAAGGGCCAAGTATAGCAACTTCTCCCAGGCTAAATGGTTCAAAAGCTATTCCAGAAAGCATTTTGGTCAGAACACTTATCAAACTTATATGCTAGATATGCTGTGGGGTTTGTGAACTTTAACTGCTGATTATCATTGAGCACTTCCTGTATGTCAAGCACTGTGCTAAGTTATCTCCGTTGCACTCACAATGAGGTAATTACTGTTGTTATCCCCATTTTACGAGTGAGAAGTCCGAGGCTCTTGGAATGTTAAGTGACTTGCTTAAAGTCACCAGTCTTTTTGGAGATGGGAGAGTGCTCAAAGCCAGACAAACCCTGTTTGAACCTGAGTTCTATTATTCAGTTCCTCATATATAAAACATGGATCATAATATTTAGCTCATGGATTGTTGTGAAGGTTAAACTGAAATGCATGGAAACCCCAAAGCCCCAGCGGAGTGAGGCAGTGAAGTCAGGGAAACCAGTCCAGAAGCTACTGTGGTCATCTAGTCTGAAGGGGTGAAAACCAGACTAGGATGACAGCAATTGTGGGGAGAATCTGATAGATGTTTCCAAGGAAAAACAAAACACCTAGACATGACAAAAGATTGAATAGGGTTAAGGAGGAGAGAGGTGAAAGCCAAAGACTCCAGTCTTCTCTGAGACCCTGGAGGAGCAGTGGAGGTCAGGTATGGGGGAACAAAGAAGCTGTTGGAAGAGAAGTGTTTTGGTTCTGAACATATTGAGTTGGGGAACTGAAAAGGGATCATCTTTCATTCATTCAACAAACACACAGAAATCGAGAAGATGAGAGTTGTGATTAAGAGCCATAGTTGCAGACAGATTACCTGAGTTCAAATCCTAATTCTGCTACTTCCTGACTGTTGTGTCTTGGGCAAGCTTAGTCTCTCATTGTCCTCAACTATGAAATGGATACTATAATAACACCTTCCTCATAGAGAGTGTCATCAGGATTAAATGAATCGGTGTCTGAGAAGTGCTTAGAACAGTGCTGGCACGTGTTGTATTCTTACCGTGTGCTAGGCACTGAGGACACAGAGATATACAGGCTTGGCCCTTGACTTCAAGGAATTCTCAGACTGGTGGGAGAGCCAAGCCAGTTACACAATGTTGCCACAGAAACAACCCAGCCTGGAGACAGCAGGGCAGCCTGGGGGGGGGGGGGGGGGGGGGGGGGGGGGGGGGGGCGAGCCACAGCAGGGGGCATTGCCGGAATGGAAGGAATGGGACTGTGGCCACAGGAACTAAGGCTGGAAAAGGGCAGGGCCAGTTTATTGGGGGGCCCTTGATTGTGCTGTTAAGAACTGTGGACACTGTACTATAGATCATGGCAGCTGAGGGAATTGACAGGATAATACTGGCATTTGACACAGGTGCAGCAATGGCTGAAAGGTCAGCTAGGAGGTCATCATCCAGAGGAGGGATGAGGGTGTCCTGAAAGAAGCTCACTGGAGGACGGAAAGGAGGGATACATTTGAGAAATACTTTAGAGGCAAAATCTGGGGACATGGTGAATTATTATCCCAATCTTTTAAAAGCCCTGAGATACATGTTCTTTCCTGGAACACTCCAGAAGACACTTGCTCTTGTTGGCATCCATTGACTTGGCCATGGCTGTGTACATTTCCCAGCACCAGCTGCAGGAAATATCCACATACTGGTCATGTTTTCTTTCTTTGCCTTAGTTGTTACCATCACCTCCACCCTTATCTACACACTGGATTAAAATAAACCAATTTTAGTCAATCTATATATCCAACACAAGGAAGTGACTAAAAATTTATGGGACATTCATCTGATGGTCACTAAAAATGTTTAAAAGTGTGTAATGACATGTATTGAAAGTAGCAAGGCAATATTGTATATATGATATGATTTCAATTCTGTTCATTTTTATATATAGAAACAGTTTTATGCATAGAAATTTTTTATACGTAGGAAAAAGAAAATGTACTTAAAGTTTGGCAATTTTCTACAATGGACTATTTACTTGGATAATCAGAAATATAAAAAGTAAAAAAGAAAAGAAAAATTGAAGAAAGATAAGTGAGAAAGCCAAGTGACTACATATGCAAAAGTACATCAAAGGTTAGCAATTTTAAATCCTTTTTAGAATAACTCAAGTTAGAAGTGTATGAATGAATGGATATTAGTGAGTACTAAAAGTTAAAATACACTATTGGAATTCAGTGAACTTCTTGACATAACAGTGAATTTGAACCATCGTAGAAGGGCAGGTATGACTTTACCCTCCTCTATGAATTTGTTAGTGCACAGGGGAGGAAAAATCACAATTTCTCTTGGTAAACTAGTGAATAACGATAATAGTAATAGCAATTGCTAGCATTTACTTACTATGTAAGTTTGTGCTAAGCAATATACACTGTGCTAAGTAATATAAACTATGCTAAGTAATATACACTATGCTAAGTAATACACACTATGCTAAGTAATATACATGCATACTCTTCAAAAGTGGCTCCAAAATTTCTACATGGGGCAGGTTTTAGAATGTAACTTGTTTGGACAACAGGGCTAGGAGGCTTGAACTGAGGTTGCATGGCAGACCCACTGTATTTTCTTAAATTTGGGGTTTATTTGGGACCATGATTATATGTGCATCATAGTGGTGCTCTAAAGTCCCAAGTGAAAAGTCACCTCTTGGTTCCACCACTGCTGATTTCATTGAATCCTCACAAGAGCTCTGCTTATTATCCCCAATTTCCACAAAAGAAATCTGAGGCTTAGAGAGGTTAATAATTTGCCCAAGGTCTCATAGGTATGAAGTGAGAGCCCCATTTGAAAATAAGTTTGTCTGACTCCTAAACCCATGTTCTTTGTTACAGTACTCTCCTGCCGATTTGTATAAGAGCTAGCCTTGCCCCAAAATTGGTGAATGGATTTTTTTTTTTTGCGGTACGTGGGCCTCTCACTGTTGTGGCCTCTCCCATCGTGGAGCACAGGCTCCGGAAAGCCCTAGTGAATGGATTTTACCTAAGCGCAGAAAGTGGCTCAAATCAGATTTCACAGACATGCATGTGCACACACGCACACACACACACACACAAACACACACACCTATTGAATTTTTTAAAACAGCCCAGAGGAAACTACTTATTGAACATGATAAAAAAAATTACAGTATATTGAAAACAATATATTTAATAAATAAGACCCTTTTGCTAACTTAATAATTTGTCTTTTGGTTTTTGAGGATGACTTGTCCCATTTGCAAATGGGTCAGATTCTTCAGAAGGGCCTTAAGATATATATAAAGCAGGTATTAAAAAGCCAAAGACATAATTAGAGGGATCTGTAGTAAACAAGATAAACACAAGCCACTCTGAAAAATACAACTGTCTATCAAGGATAGACAGCTGCTCAGAGGTAGAGCTAGTTCCCAAGGAGAGTGCACAGGATGCTCCCCACTTCAATGCTTCCCAGCTTAGTCGAGCAGTCTCCACTTGTCCTTTAAGATCTTGACTGTTATCAAATCTATTTATTTAAAAACTTAAGGACTATTAAAGCTATACCATAAAAAATGCATGTTGGGGCTTCCCTGGTGGCGCAGTGGTTGAGAGTCCGCCTGCCGATGCAGGGGACACGGGTTCGTGCCCCGGTCTGGGAGGATCCCACAAGCCACAGAGCGGCTGCGCCCGTGAGCCATGGCCGCTGAGCCTGCGCTCCGCAACGGGAGAGGCCACAACAGTGAGAGGCCCGCATACCGCAAAAAAAAAAAAATGCACGTTGGTATTGGGAAATTGTTAAGTGAAAAATAAATTACCAAATAATGTTAGGATGTGAAACCCTGTTTTGGTAAAATGAACCCCCCAAAGTGTGTTTGTATACATACATATATAGTCATAGCAAAAGCACTGAAAAGACATATACTAAAATGTTAACAGTGGCTTTCTCTGAGGAGTGATTTTTATCTTAGTACTCTGATTTTTTGGTGTATTTTGAAGTTTTCTGGATTTTGTTTGTTTGTTTTTTATTTATTATTATTTATTTATTTATTTTTGGCCACTCAGCCCAGCTTGTGAGATCATACTTCCCCAACCAGGGATTGAACCGGGGCCCTCAGGAGTGAAAGGGCTGAGTCCTAACCACTGGACTGCCAGGGAATTCCCTTCTGGATGGTTTTTGCTTATTTGCACTTAAGATAATGTGACTTTAAAAAGTGTGGTCATCATGCCCACTTTTTAATGTAAATGCTGCAGACTGCAGTACAGTATGCGGTTTTGGAACAAGATATGAACAGAAATTCAAAGGAACAAATAAATACACTGCCATGGAACTCCAGTGCTAGTGAGAGATCTCTGGGACTATTGGGGTCTCTGGGAGTGGCACATGGGTGCCCTACATTTGTTAAGAGTTAAGGGAAGAACAAAGAAGTGAAGGAGGAAAGAAAGGAAGAAAGAAATACAAAGATCTGAGAAGAGAAGGTGCTAGGAGATGCTGAGAAGGTGTCAAATATTAATTTCATTATTGTCTTCTTTTTTTCTTTTGGGAAATGGAAGATGTATAGTTTCCTGTTGCTGCTATAACAAAATTACTACAAACTAAGTGCCCTAAAACAACATAAATTTATTCTCTTATAATTCTGGGGGTCAGAAGTCCAAAAGTGGGTCTCATGGGCTAAAATTAATGTGATGGCAGGATAGCACAGGGAGATCAGCTCGGTGCTTTGTGACCACCTAGAGAGGTGGGATAGGCAGGGTGGGAGGGAGACGTAAGAGGGAGGGGATATGGGGATATATGTATACGTATAGCTGATTCAATCTGTTATAAAGCAGAAACTAACACACCACTGTAAGGCAATTATACTCCAATAAAGATGTTAAAATAAATAAATAAAGTGATGGCAGGGTTGCATTTCTTCTGGAGGCTCTAGTGGAGAATCTGTTCCTTCTGTTTCCAGTTCTAGACACTGTTTGCCTCCCTCTTATAAGATCCTTGTGATTGGACCCACCAGATAAGCCTGGATAATCTCTGCATCTAACGATTTTTAATTTAATCTTATCTGCTAAGTCCCTTTTGCCACGTAAGGTAAGATATTCACACGTTCTGGAGATTAGGATGTGGATATCTTTGGGGTGAGGATGGGGGCGTTATTCAGCCTGCTGCAGAAGGAAACCAGTATGTTCTCCTACCTATCTGGTACATTGTAAACAGAGCCTCATCTAATTCTTCAACAAGCCTTGTGAAATATATGCCAGGATTTGTTTTTAAAGTTGAGGAAACTGAGCCTCAGCACAATTTGGGATTCTGCGCAAGGTCCAGTAGCTGGGATGCGAGCCCCGGTCCCTGAGCCAGAGCTCAAGCCAGCCTGCCTGGTGGCCTTGCCTCCACTCATCTCTCCCACTTACCCCTACTTCCTCTTTCTTGTCTGGGCCTGTCCTCCAACTCCCTGAACAAGCTTAAGCTTCTGTTTCCCAACTCCTCCGTGCTCTCGTGATGACAATGCAGCCGTGGCTTGGTGCTGAGGTTTGCTAATCAAGCAAGCCAAGCCAGCTGCCCCTCAGAATCTTCTTTTAGGCTTTTTTCTACCTCTCCTTTATTCAACGAGCATTGTTTTTGAGCTATTGGGCTGAGTGCTAGAGCAGCAGGGAAGATAGGCCTAAGCTAAAAATGTCAGGACAGTCTACATGATACATATTATATCAGACATAAGGACTGAAGCATTATAGGAAGTCAGAGCAAGTCCTGGGAACTTTGTGTGAATCTTTCTCATGGGCCTTGGGAGAAATCTAAGCTCCAGGGAATAAGCAAAGACTTCTTTTTCTTTTGAGCCTCCTGGGGGACCAGATATGATTAATCTTTGTGTTCCTTGTGTCTTTCCCATAATTGTGTTCCATAAATATTCGAAAGTTGGGAACAGGGTCAAGACAAACAGCAAAAAGCAAGCAGTGTCTGAGACCAACAAAGGGTTAAAGGCCACTGCAGAAGGCAGGCAGTGCTTTTGTTTTCCCTCTCTCTCTCTATCCTACCTAGCAACTGATGACACTATTTCCCCTGTTTTTACTGGGAGAGAACACTGAGTGTCACTCAGTTGCTGAATCATTCAAGAGCCGGTAGAGTATAGGTTCTTGAAAGATCAGCAGGGACCTGTCAGTGTTTTGGTTAAAAGAATCGGAAAGAGAAGGATTTTAGAGGGGCTGATGGTGCTCCTGTTACCTCTCATCATTGCATTAGCAGTGATGCACAGTGATGCTCGTGAGTACCCCAAGTTCTCTTTGCTCTGAACTCTTCAGCCGAGGCAGCCTCAGGGAAAGAGCTTGTCTTCCTAAAACTTCTGGTGAAATGATTAAGAAGCCAGGGGCAGAAAATTGTGTTTATTAAACCCAGGACTTGTCAGAGGGTTGGACTAGCTGTACAGTTTTCCAGTTCACATGTGTAGGATTTTGATGTCACCTGCCTTCTGAGGGGTTGGAAGCCATTCTGGAAAGACCCTCTGGGTAACTTCCTCACTTCCTACTTCCCTTCTGAGCATTGCTCCCTTTCTTTTCTGTTCATGTCTTTTCTTTTACTTTTGTTTTTCCTCTCTACTAGCTTGGTAAGTCTCATGAGGATGTGGTCAGAGTTTCAGGGCCATTAAACAGTTGAGCAGATCCATTGTTCAGGTTTACTTGTTTTTCCTCTTCACCACAATCCCAACCTGTAACACAAGATCCCAGGAAGATAAAACCATGGTTCTGGACTTGTTTACTAGGTGTAAGAGATATCAACTGAGTAGAAGGAGTTTTTCATTTTTTAGGGAGCCTATGTTACTAGGGAAGCAGTTGCTTTCTGTTGCCTGCAATACACCAAAAGACCTGTGGGCTGGAAGCACCAGGCTTCTCTGCCCTAAGCAACTGCTTTCCCAGCTAGGGGCCAGCACTCGCAGATGGCTGCCGGGCAATGTCTCCATCTCAGTCTGGGCCACCACCACAGGCAGTGATTCATGAACATGACAGGAAGGAGCTCTTTCAAATCGTCTGTGTGTTAATTATACAAATGTTGGTTGATGTCCTACTGTGTGACAGCACTTTTGGGGACATGACCATGAACAAGACAGACAAAGGTCCTGCTTCTATAGAAACTTAATCCAGAAAAAGTCCTACCGTTCAAGTCAGAAATGGGAAAGATTGAGGGTGAGGGTAAGAGACAGAGGATAAAAAGAGGAAAGGAGTGATATTTCTAGAATGTAAAAAGCCTATATATTACCTGTATTTAATCCTCAAAGAACTCTCCAACAATATGACCACAGTATCCCCTAAACATAATCTCTCATGTAATGGTCTAACTGACCCTTGTGGCAGGCTAAGAAAACATCCCCATTTCCAGATGAGGAGACCCAGGCCTAGAGAAGTGGACTCAGCTCACATAACGAGCAGAGTCTGAAGTACATGCAGGTCTTTTAGCCTACAGTCCGGGGCTTTTCCACAATATCACAGCACCTCTGGATGTGGACACTTGGCACTTCGATAATAGGTGGAATGAGAAATAGAACCAGTCATATATAAAGGGCAGGGAAGGTCGCTTTGTGCTGGCTATTCTCCTTTTGACTCCTTCCACTCCATCCTTCTCTGGCCTGTCTTGTGCCCTGGGAGGCTGACTGCTACAGAAGGCATCACCCAGTCTCTCTTGCAGGCTGATTTCTGTTCGGGTTCACCCAATGGGAGATGCTGAAAGGAGAGCAGTCACAGAGGAAAGAGAGGTTGGGGTATTTCCTTCTTCCTCTTTCCCCACTTTGTTTAATGTTTCTGGCGGTAGCTGTGTCCCTCGGCAATATAGTTTTCTCTGAACAGCCCTTTCTTCATGGTTCTAGCTCCCATTAGGCCTCAGGAGCACTATTTGCTCCTCCAATCTCTACAGCCCTAAGGGTGTAATGGCTTCCTATAGTTGTTAGCTTATGGGCACCCTATCATCCCCCATCTGTTCCTGTAACTTTGCTCATACCTCTGCGTGAAGTCCCTTCATTAAAGTTTCTTCATGTGACTCATCTGGGATGAAGGTTGTTACCTGCCAGGATCCTGACTGAGTGTTCTGAGCATTGAGGGATGCTGACAGGGAAGGGAAACAGGGTTATGAAAAAGGTCTTGGTCTACTTGATATTTGGGCCTAATGCTAGCCCTGAGTAGGAGCTTCTAGACATGGAAACACAGGGAGGAGATACCAGAGTGTATGGGGGTCACAGCTCAATGACAAGATCAGTCCAACATCACTTCCAGTGTGTTGATTTCATTGACTCCATGGCCTGCAGTAGACTGTGCTTTCCTTTGTACTTCCATAGCTCCTGCTCACAGCTTTATAACTTTCTATTTACCAAAATCTTTCCTTCAAGCCTCTCCTTAAAGGCAGGGAGAGAGATCTTCTCATTTTTCTCTTCTTTATTTTCCTCATACTTCCTAGTGACCAATAGGCACTTAATAAATGCCTCCTGGAATTTATGTTCCAAGGTGATGTCCCTAAGAAATTGAAGTGATCTGACCGTGTGCCATAGAGAACTTGGTCAGCAATAATGACTAAATTCACAACTGTGGTTTATTCTAGTTGCAGAATTTGTATGAAAAAGAAAGATGTTTCATGCTTTACAGCTCCTCCTGTTCTTCATTTCAGCCTGTGGGAGACGGTGAGCTGGTGACATGGGTGGGTGTCATCAGGGCGGGGGCATGCATGGGATCTCTCTTGCAGAGGTATATGTGGTTTGTGTGTTTCATCCTGAAAAAGCCAAGGTCAGTCTCTTGATATTACTCATAACTCTATGGATATTTCAATCTGCTATATCAATCTGCTTCATGAATGATGAAGTCCTTCACAGACAAGGAGAAATGATGGATAAGTCCCCTGAACTGTCAACTGGGCTAGCGTTAAAAGACAGATTTGCAAATTATCTGCTTAGAAATGACCTTGAGTTCCAAGAGTTAACATGAGAAAATATGGGCATTTGCTATAGACATTATTAGACTTCAATCTGTTTCCATGGAGCTGTTGCCAAGGCACATGCAGTAGAAATTTCTCCAAGATACTGTTTTACTCCCTTAAGGCCTTCTTGGTTGACATTGAATCTATCTAAATCTGAGAAACTCAACTAATTTGTAGATTTTCTTCTGACTAGTTGCAATATTTGTCTATTCTCACTAAAACGCATTGACCTCAGTCATCCTGTTACCCCAGAAGGATTGCCAAGGACTCGAAGGAAGGAGCCTAGGTTAAAGATCAAACAAGTGGCTCTTTAAACACTTGCTTTATGAAACCCAAATTGAGACAGATGACCGAGGACATTCTTTCTGACAGCCAAATTTATATTTATTATGGAAAACCCTTCAAGAGTATAAGTACCAAATCACATTTTGTTACAACTTCAATGAATCATTTAAAAAAAATAAAATTCATAAAAATGTAATTCTTCTGGGAAATAGGAGAACATATGGTCGTCATTGTGTACAGAGAGTACTGGGAAAAAAAAAACCCCACCAGGGCACATTCATTCATTCTCCAGAGCTCTACATGGCCCACAAACAAAGTGATCTCCTTGCTATTCCTCAAATACATGGAACAGGCAACTTCCTTGAGGACTCCGGCTTGTTGTTCCGTCTGAAAGCTTCTTCTCCTATGACTCACTTCCTCACTTCATTCACATCTCTGCTCAGATGCCACCTGCTCAGAAGGCCTTTCCTGGTCCCTCTACCTAAAAGGTTAGCCCTCTTCACACTCTACCTCCTTTCCTTGCTTTTTTCCCTTTTTCTTTTTTAAATTTTTCTCTTTTTGAACTTTTTTTTTCCCTTTTTCTTTATTATTATTTGTGTGTGTGTGTGTGTGTTTATTTCCTTTCCCTGCTTTATTTCTCTTCACAACTCTTATCAGTAGCTGATCCTGTATTATATCTTCACCTACTGCAGGTCTTCCTTCTAGAAAGGAGCTCAGAGGGCTGGGATTTGATGTGTTCATTGCCGTATCCCTAGCAGCTAGGACTGTGCCTACTGGAAGTTCAGAAAAGGATAAAACTTAAAAGAGACATTGGTAACCTCCAAAGGGTAGCCTCAAAAGAGTAGATTAAGAGTCAAACTGTCACATTCAGCACTTCCGGGCCCTCGATGACTTCCTGTAGTGAGAGGAGTTGTTAGGAGAGGGACTGGCAGTACTTGATGCGTATAGAACTACCTATATCACTGCATAGTTTGAGAAGTGTCCAAAGGCCCTCTTTTTTTTTTTGAGAAAGAATTACTTTGTTATTTATTTGTTTTTTTTTAACATCTTTATTGGGGTACAATTGCTTTACAATGGTGTGTTAGTTTCTGCTCTATAACAAAGTGAATCAGTTATATATATACATATGTTCCCATATGTCCTCCCTCTTGCGTCTCCCTCCCTCCCACTCTCCCTATCCCACCCCTCCAGGCTGTCACAAAGCACCGAGCTAATATCCCTGTGCCATGCGGCTGCTTCCCACTAGCTATCTACCTTACTACGTTTGTTAGTGTGTGTATGTCCATGACTCTCTCTCGCCCTGTCAAAGCTCACCCTTCCCCCTCCCCATATCCTCAAGTCCGTTCTCCAGTAGGTCTGCGTCTCTATTCCCGTCCCACCCCTAGGTTCTTCATGACATCCTTTTTTTTCCTTAAATTCCATATATATGTGTTAGCATACGGTATTTGTCTTTTTCTTTCCGACTTACTTCACTCTGTATGACAGACTCTAGGTCTATCCATCTCATTACAAATAACTCAATTTCATTTCTTTTTAAGGCTGAGTAATATTCCATTGTATATATGTGCCACATCTTCTTTATCCATTCATCCGATGATGGGCACTTAGGTTGTTTCCATCTCCGGGCTATTGTAAATAGAGCTGCAATGAACATTTTGGTACATGACTCTTTTTGAATTTTGGTTTTCTCAGGGTATATGCCCAGTAGTGGGATTGCTGGGTCATATGGTAATTCTATTTGTAGTTTTTTAAGGAACCTCCATACTGTTCTCCATAGTGGCTGAACCAATTCACATTCCCACCAGCAATGCAAGAGTGTTCCCTTTTCTCCACACCCTCTCCAGCATTTATTGTTTCTAGATTTTTTGATGATGGCCATTCTGACTGGTGTGAGATGATATCTCATTGTAGTTTTGATTTGCATTTCTCTAATGATTAATGATGTTGAGCATTCTTTCATGTGTTTGTTGGCAATCTGTATATCTTCTTTGGAGAAATGTCTATTTAGGTCTTCTGCCCATTTTTGGATTGGGCTGTTTGTTTTTTTGTTATTGAGCTGAATGAGCTGCTTGTAAATTTTGGAGATTAATCCTTTGTCAGTTGCTTCATTTGCAAATATTTTCTCCCATTCTGAGGGTTGTCTTCATCTTGTATATGGTTTCCTTTGTTGTGCAAAAGATTTCAAGTTTCATTAGGTCCCATTTGTTTATTTTTGTTTTTATTTCCATTTCTCTAGGAGGTGGGTCAGAAAGGATCTTGCTGTGATTTATGTCATAGAGTGTTCTGCCTATGTTTTCCTCTAAGAGTTTGATAGTTTCTGGCCTTACATTTAGGTCTTTAATCCATTTTGAGCTTATTTTTGTGTATGGTGTTAGGGAGTGATCTAATCTCATATTTTTACATGTACCTGTCCAGTTTTCCCAGCACCATTTATTGAAGAGGCTGTCCTTTCTCCACTGTACATTTCTGCCACCTTTATCAAAGATAAGGTGTCCATATGTGCGTGGGTTTATCTCTGGGCTTTCTATCCTGTTCCATTGATCTATCTTTCTGTTTTTGTGCCAGTACCATACTGTCTTGATTACTGTAGCTTTGTAGTATAGTCTGAAGTCAGGGAGCCTGATTCCTCCAGCTCCTTTTTTCGTTCTCAAGATTGCTTTGGCTATTCGGGGTCTTTTGTGTTTCCATACAAATTGCGAAATTTTTTGTTCTAGTTCTGTGAAAAATGCCAGTGGTAGTTTGATAGGGATTGCATTGAATCTGTAGATTGCTTTGGGTAGTAGAGTCATTTTCACAATGTTGATTCTTCCCATCCAAGAACATGGTATATCTCTCCATCTATTTGTATCATCTTTAATTTCTTTCATCAGTGTCTTATAATTTTCTGCATACAGGTCTTTTGTCTCCTTAGGTGGGTTTATTCCTAGATATTTTATTCTTTTTGTTGCAATGGTAAATGGGAGTGTTTTCTTGATTTCACTTTCAGATTTTTCATCATTAGTATATAGGAATGCCAGAGATTTCTGTGCATTAATTTTGTATCCTGCTACTTTACCAAATTCATTGATTAGCTCTAGTAGTTTTCTGGTAGCATCTTTAGGATTCTCTATGTATAGTATCATGTCATCTGCAAACAGTGACAGCTTTACTTCTTCTTTTCCGATTTGGATTCCTTTTATTTCCTTTTCTTCTCTGATTGCTGTGGCTAAAACTTCCAAAACTATGTTGAATAAGAGTGGTGAGAGTGGGCAACCTTGTCTTGTTCCTGATCTTAGTGGAAATGCTTTCAGTTTTTCACCATTGAGGATGATGTTTGCTGTGGGCTTGTCATATATGGCCTTTATTATGTTGAGGAAAGTTCCCTCTATGCCTACTTTCTGCAGGGTTTTTATCATAAATGGGTGTTGAATTTTGTCGAAAGCTTTCTCTGCATCTATTGAGATGATCATATGGTTTTTCTCCTTCAATTTGTTAATATGGTTTATCACATTGATAGATTTGCGTATATTGAAGAATCCTTGCATTCCTGGAATAAACCCCACTTGATCATGGTGTATGATCCTTTTAATGTGCTGTTGGATTCTGTTTGCTAGTGTTTTGTTGAGGATTTTTGCATCTATGTTCATCAGTGATATTGGCCTGTAGTTTTCTTTCTTTGTGACATCCTTGTCTGGTTTTGGTATCAAGGTGATGGTGGCCTCGTAGAAGGAATTTGGGAGTGTTCCTCCCTCTGCTATATTTTGGAAGAGTTTGAGAAGGATAGGTGTTAGCTCTTCTCTAAACGTTTGATAGAATTCACCTGTGAAGCCATCTGGTCCTGGGCTTTTGTTTGTTGGAAGATTTTTAATCACAGTTTCAATTTCAGTGCTTGTGACTGGTCTGTTCATATTTTCTATTTCTTCCTGATTCAGTCTTGGCAGGTTGTGCATTTCTAAGAATTTGTCCATTTCTTCCAGATTGTCCATTTTATTGGCATAGAGTTGCTTGTAGTAATCTCTCATGATTTTTTTTATTTCTGCAGTGTCAGTTGTTACTTCTCCTTTTTCATTTCTAATTCTATTGATTTGAGTCTTCTCCCTTTTTTTCTTGATGAGTCTGGCTAGTGGTTTATCTATTTTGTTTATCTTCTCAAAGAACCAGCTTTTAGTTTTATTGATCTTTGCTATTGTTTCCTTCATTTCTTTTTCATTTATTTCTGACCTGATTTTTATGATTTCTTTCCTTCTGCTAGCTTTGGGGTTTTTTTGTTCTTCTTTCTCTAATTGCTTGAGGTGCAAGGTTAGGTTGTTTATTCGAGATGTTTCCTGCTTCTTAAGGTGGGCTTGTATTGCTATAAACTTCCCCCTTAGAACTGCTTTTGCTGCATCCCATAGGTTTTGGGTCGTTGTGTCTCCACTATCATTTGTTTCTAGGTATTTTTTA